CAAATAAGAGTCAAACTCTGCAAACACTGAATCTATGTTAGTCTTACAATGATACAAACCTTTCTACCAAGTAACAGTCAAACTCTGCAAGCTCGACACCGCATTGTACATGTGTGTTATGTTGAAGAGTTCTGATCAAAACCTGTCTTCCAAGTAAAAGTCAAACTCTGCAAACACAACTTGAATCCATGTTAGTCTTGCAACAATACAAACCTTTTTTACCAAGTAACAGTCAAACTCTGCAAGTTCGACACCACATTGTACGTGCGTGTTATGTTGAAGAGTTCTGATCAAAACCTGTCTTCCAAGTTAGAGTCAAATTCTGCAAACACAACTCGAACTGAATTCATGTTAATCCTGCAATGATACAAACCTTTCTTCCAAGTAAGAGTTAATATCTGCAAAAGCAACTCGAACTGAATCTGAATCCATTTTAGTCTTACAATGATGAGATACTACAAAAAAATAAATGTTTACATGGTTGAAATAGAGTGTTTAGAAATGTATAATAAACAGTGTGAAATCATGTGTCTATGGAACATCATCTCTTTCTTGAGCTGTTGTGTTTACATCTTTCAACTGTGAAGTACATGTCAGATCACTTCTTCTAAAAACATGAGTTCTATGGTTGGCATAGCCAGAAAAATAATTCTTGCCATCTTTAACACAGAAACTCCCCAACAGAAGTCATCATGTGGTGTTGCGACGCTTTGTAATCTTGACTGCCGGCTGTGAAGTCAAGTGACACCTGTCCCAACGAAATTTCCCTAATCGGTTTTCTTCTCCTTCTTTGGGTTTGGCTTCTGATACAGGATAATTTGGCTCAAGAGGGTTCCGTTCATCAGTACACCGAGCACAGAACCCATGGCAACTGTTAAACAACCAAGGAATTTAGCGAACATATCAGCTATAAAGCTTCAATAGAATACAGAGATCTATGCTAGATTGCTTTATCAAGAATGGGTAGTTTAAAAAAAAAAAAAAAAAAAATCAATTGGGATCAAATCGAACAATATGGATAGGAGAGATGGGGGGAAAGGATACCGCTTGTTGGAGCCTTTTCTTGGATGCTTGTAAATACTCTAACTGTCAGATAAAACGGGGAAAAAGATTGAGATATGTATTGACATGATAGCCCACATTACATTATGCAACCATATTTGCAATAAACTTACCCATTGAACCTCCAAAGTTCATAAAAAACGTTAAGAAGCTCAACTGTCCAGTACTCTTGTTCTGTTGAAAAAATAGCCAGTATTATGAACTCTCATCGTAGGATGTGTATTGACTTTAAAAGATGATGACACGGAAACCTACCTTAAAGTTCGCCCATATCTGTGGAATTCTTGCAAAAAGAAAAATTGCATGCTGGGAAGCCTGGAGCATTATTTTTGCACGTGCATGAGTTTCAGATTTTAAATTCATAAAAAGGATATATTGAAATTGGATAGAGTTCTGCACGCCTAAATAAATAGAAACATGAAGAGGGAAAAGGGAATAGACCTATTTTTCTACACTGTTATGAGCCACAACTTACATATAGAGCCTCGAAAAGGATGGGATCAACTTTGCCTGCTAAAATAGTTGGCGCAATACCACAGTATCTGTTATTAGACCGTTACGGAAATTCAAGTATCCCATTAAAGGATCACTCTTGAAACTCAATAACCACACAACATAACGGTTCAACAGAGTTTGTAAGAAGGATACAGTAATGCTATCATCCATGTCTTTGTGCCCAAAGGTTGAGAAAAATAGTAGATGGTTGAAACTAAGATTATTGCTGCAACAAAGTAAAAGAGCAGATTGTATTAGTGCAACCAAGCCTTTTCGAGTTTTCATACCATAACTAAGTACAGTAGAAAAGTCTGGAATTCCTGGTTGTCTACCACACAGGTACAAAGTGGACCGAACAGGCTATGATACCATACCATATTATAGTCTAAGATTGGAACAAAGTCCCTTAGCTGGGCTATAATGCACATGGGCCAAACCACACTATAAGACTGAATCCAATCAATTAACTAGTCTAACCCATGGCCTCATAAACCCATATGTTCTCGCTTATTTTTTCAATGTGGACTCTTAACCAAGATTAAATATATAAACCCAATCTTTATGCAAGAAGCATTTGATTGATTGATGTAGTGAACTGTATACAATGACCAGTCACCACTGAGAACAATTGAATTGTGGACTGAAGAAGGGTGGCATTTCACGGAACGTACCTTGGACCAAGAGAAATGCATACTCGCCATAAGCTGAAAACGGTAGCCCTTTGTGAAGACAATATGCCAAAGCAATGGTATAACCAACTACTTCAAGTTCAAAGGCTACCACACTGAGCCCACTAACACTTCTGTGTCGCAAAATCTTTAATATCTACAGATGGAGGATTGAACTAATGAGTCACGCACGCATCATATCAAAATAACAAATAATGAGCTCAATAGCACTTCTCCAAAAGAAATAATGTCTAAATAAAATACAACTTTTCTACTGAAAGAACCAAAAAATAAGAACGGACTACAAGTCATATGCCGATTAAACCATTTCTTTCTCAAGGTTAGACTGCAATTAGAGCTCAAAGCACGGTTCTTTTGGAATAAAACTTATCAATAAATAGTCCATATTTGCAAACTAACAAATAGGCAGTGAATTCTCAAAGCAATTCCAACAAAATACTTAGATGCTCAAGAAACATTAGCACGACAATTGGCAGAAAAACACCACCCATGAACCCAAACGACTCATGTGTATCAATTACTTATAGTCTTAATAGATAGCCTTACTATAACATAGCAGACAGTAGCTTAAGCATTGGAACTTTTAATCTTCTATCTTTGCCAATGAAAACTTAGCACCCATTTTTCCTATCACCATAATATGTAGATATCAAAACCTAAAACAAGATCACTCACACCAAAGGAACCACAAATCCTTACAAGTTAACTATTATGGAAACTTCTTAGTTCTAAATCAACATGGAATTCCAGCAAGCAAGGCTCAATAGTTAAACAACGAGCATAACCAACATTAAAGATTCATACTTTCTTTGTTTTTAAGCAAGAAAACAGTTGAACAGAGCTAATATCTACACACGGAGCACAAATTGGAACCGTTCAGTATTATCAATTGTTGTTTTAATTTTTTCTAGGAGTTTGGGATCATTCGAGCATGCGCAACGGCTAAGCGGATCAAATCTTTTAGTTAATTTAGAGGAAATTACCTGCGGAAGCTTGACGGTGGTGGAGGCAGCCACGATGGCGTAGCCCAAGAGCTTCGATATTAACGGAAGCAAACAGTCCTTCGCTGGGAATTCACCCTTGCTAAGAGATCCCAGCGCGCAACTAAAGTCCATTCCAAGAAACTTCAACTCCACCATTTTTTATTGATCGAGTTTTTTGAGGAAACACTCAACTGTTTTTGGAGTCAGCGGGGTGGGATTGTGGGGAAAGAGTGAAAGACTCACCCAGATCATAGATGTAGAAACATGAAATGAATCAATTTTATTTATTTTCAAAAAAAAAAAAATCAATTTTTTTTTTTTCAATTTCCAGAATTTAGATATATTTTTTTTGTTTAAATAAAATTAAATAGGTATTTTTTTTTGAATGCTACTAAGCTCTATTACATTGTAGTATCTGTTCATATACTTCCTACCGAAACACAAAGAGCTAATAACGCCTCCATTGAGGCTTGAACTCACAACCTTCCTAATGGAAGTCCAACCCGGATACCATTGGACCACATAGTCCTGGTACCACAATGGAGGTATATTTAACCTAAATTTACACACAATTTTTATGTTTTCATACATATTTGAATTTGACTAAATAAGACTAATCAAATTTGATGGACTATACCTACTTGACCTGTTAAGTAACTTGTCTCTAAATATAGTTAGTTGAGACACAACAAGTTACATGCATGTGAAGCGAAATAGTACAACTCGATATCAGTTTTAACATAACTAACCAACTGATATGATAGTCTACTCAGAGGAAGACACATGGACTCGTGGTCTCGTGGAGGCACACCAATAAACTAGTTTAGTGTAGGACAACTTGTGTATTATACATAGCTCACTCAATTTTGTATCGTCTCAAGTCTTTCATTTACGTGGTGATTTGCTGGACTATTTGGCAAAGCAAAAATGATAAAATATGGAACGGGAAGGCTTTTCGGTTGTGTCCGTAGTAAATGAGGCATCTTATTTTCTTACAAATTGGTGAGCAGCTTGAGAGTTGATCCCTGCTGATCATGGTGTCTGTCATGCTATTGTTGAGAAATGGAAGAAGCCAGATAGGGGGTAGGTTGAAGGTTAATGCTGATGTTGCTATCAGTGTTAAGAACGACAGGTTTTGGCTGAATATTTGGAGATGAGGAGGGTATATTCTTGGTTGTTAAGGGGTTGCTGTGGACGGGGGGGGGGGGGGGGGGGGTGTTCAAAATTTGTGAGGTAGAGGTATTTGGCGTAAGAGAAGCTCTCAATTGGTTGCACGTTTTTGAGATAGATACCCATCTTGTGTTTAATGCTGCCTATGATGTTATTTTGACGATGTTAGAATAAATGTGACTATGTTTAATAACATTCATTTCTATTTTACTAGGCGGTCTGCGAACCATGCTGCCAATGCTATTACTCGGGAAGTCATTTCAATATCTGCCTCTAATGGTGTTTGGTATGTTACTCCACCTCCTTTTTTATCGTTAATATTCTGAATAATAATTTAATATAAGCTTTTTAGTTTATAAATAAATAAATTCTTAAGAATTTTACATTTTATTCATAACTCAAATGTAATTTTAGTTAACAAAAAAAATTAATTATTACAAAGAAGTGTGTACTACTATATTATTAAATTATTAATTATTAATTATTAATTTTGACAATATGTTCATTGTGTTCGACAATGAAACCCTAGGCTAAACTCATAACTTATTAGATGTTTATCTTACCTTTTTAGAATCGGACATGATGCTTACCTTTGCGTCCTAATTGCAATATAAGAAAGTGAGGGACAAGAATTTCACGGTTCACAGTGCGACGAGAAGAAGAAGAGAGCGTTTACTTTCTTTCATTGCGATTTGGGAAAAATCTCGAAAAATAATAATAATAATAATAAAAGGCGACCTCCCAAACAATAAAAGAAAAAAAAAAAAGGGAAAAAGGAAGCTAAATTGCGAAAACGGCGAAAATGAATGTCGGTGGCGGAACAGCCGGCGACGATGGGGCGTCCGCCGTGTCGCGGTGGAGCTTTACCATATGGAGGCAGTACCAGTACGTGCTGGACAAGTCGACGCCGCTGGTGCTCCGCCGCTGGATCTTCTTATTGATCGTGGCGCTCATCTACGCCGTCCGGGTGTACCTAGTCGAAGGATTCTACATCGTGACCTACGCCCTCGGCATCTACGTCATCCAGCTCCTTATTGCTTTCCTTTCCCCGCAGGTTGATCCCGAGATCCAGGAGCTCACCGATGGCCCCACCCTCCCCACTCGGGGCTCCGACGAGTTCCGCCCTTTCGTTCGCCGCCTCCCTGAATTCAAGTTCTGGTTCGTGTTTTCATCCGTATACTCTCTCTGATTTTACATCCGTATACGTCTATCTAACTGAATACTTGTCAAATTTGGGAATCAATAGTGCGATTTCAATTTTTTTTTTTTAATTGTGGAGTTGTACAGTGTATACAACGTGATCTTGATTGTAGAATTCAATTTTATAGACTTAGACGATGGAAATCAGAATTTGGTGGAAAGCGAAGAAATTTGATTAACCCTGTCAAAGCTCTGGAAAAGGATTTCTATGTGCTGCAGATATTATTCAAGTTTGCGAACTTGTGATGATGAGATATCTGTAGGTGCTATTTTTGAAACCATCCTCTGGAATTAAGAATAAAACTCCTAGCCTGATTTATATATTTTCTTGAATCATTGATGAGATAGGATATGAATTTATGATGGCCAAGGTTTTAGTAAACAGTCGATGACAAGATTGGATATAAGGAGTGCTCACCTTCAACTCCGGTAAGAATTAGAAATGACCAATTGGATATATACCTTTTCGTTATCCTAATGTTGTGGTGAAACTTCCCAAGTGTCTGTAACCTTTTAGATCTGGTGCACCGAGCGTTATAGGCTTCTAATGTTGATTGCTTTTAAAACCTTAATCTCTATCCAGCTCAATTGATGTTGTCCTTTGCCATAGCCAAGAACAATTCTATAAGGACACTGAATTTATCTTAACATAACTGGGCGAACTTTTTAGGATATTTGACTCTTTTGGGATGTATATATATATATATATATATATATATATATATATATTTGCTTCATGGACTTGGTGATCTCCTAAGATGTCTAGACCACCCACGAGGATCCAAGAATTAAACAAACTGCTGAGGCCAATTTTCTACAGAGTGATTTAGTGATTTTGGATTTCTGTATTCAGCTACCAAGGTAGAGCAACAGCTGTTGCCAAAGTGAATAAGAAAATAAAGTTCAAATTTGAACAAAGAGATATGAGTAGGGCAGCCTATGTTTCATCTCTTTGCTAAGCCGTATTCTTTTGCTCTTTGAAGATATTAGTTTTGATATATTTAAGGTTTCTTTGTGAAGGACAACACTAGAACATTTCATTTTGGTTTGCTAATTGGCCCTTTTACCCATAACCTCTAATAAGAGATGTTCATGTATTCATTGAAAATAGAGGAGGTATCAGTACTTTTGGAACTATTGAACTCTAGAGGTGACTGGAGTTATCCCAGTATTCATAATCTATGCATTAATCATACAACACCAAATTTTTATTTATTTATGCATTGGTATATACTCAATTTTAGTTTAAGTGAAGTGCTTCACTCACACTTCGTTGACAATTTTCAATCTTCTAAAAAAGGTTAGTCTCAACTCTCAAACCTGGGGATTTGACCTTTTTTTCCTTAATAATGACAGGCATTCACTTACAAAGGCATTCATCTTTGCTTTTGCCCTGACGTTCTTCGGTGCCTTTGATGTGCCTGTTTTTTGGCCAATTCTATTGTTCTATTGGTTGGTACTGTTTATTTCAACAATGAAGAGGCAGATAATGCACATGATGAAATATAAGTATGTCCCCTTCACATTTGGCAAGCAGGTATAACTCATTAAATTTATGTATATCTATTTTCTAGGTGAGATTGATACGCATTATTAATACACAACAGAATGATTGACTGAAGTATTTTTCCCACAATATCCAGCGTTACACAGGGAAGAAAGCAGTTCCCTCTGAAGACACGTCCACTCCCAAAGATTGATGATGCTTCTGGTAGATTAAATCATATCATGGTAGACCATGAGTTTCTTCAAAAAGCAGACTTGGTTAGAATGTTGAATTATTTTTCCTGGGAAAAGCTCTCTCCACAAGTATTGAATTTATGATTGAAAACATTAGGGCTTCACCTTCCTAGCTCCATAGATTATCTCCTTTTCATTGTTGATGGATTAGGTAGTTTCTTGTTGTCTTACCTAACTCTTGTCTTTTGTAATCGCGGATCGCTTTCACCACTCTTTGTTGTATACATCAAACATAATATTTTATCCTGGGATTTGTTCTTTATACACTTGGCTATTAGTCTGATTTATATGAAGCATTTTATTTGACCTTTGAGTTGCATGCATGTGTTCATCAATGTAAATGGACATATTTGAGTGAGGTTGTGTGCAACCCCAGTTGGCTCACCAGTAGTCCTTTTAACTCCTCACCTAACTATTTGGTTGAGCCAGATTGAGGTAAACCCCATATCATTTACTAATGTTTACAATGCAATAAATGTTTTTTTTTTTAGAACGACAATGCAATAAATGTTAGTGTGGGTTCAAGACATTATTTGCACAACATAACAAAAGATAACTCCATTGTATGACTTGATTCGATAGTCTTATCTCGTGAAATTCGGATAGATGTGTAATGTCTCTACAATGCGAAGTTACGAAAATGGTGGATAATGGGAATAGTCTTGCTATTATTAGTGAACAACAAAGTACAACCAACACATGGAATAGCAAAGTAGATGCATAAAAGTTGCATTTGGGCCAATTCAGTGACAGCAAGAATACACAAATCAGGGTCTTAATACAACAATCCATGAATGATCTGTTCATGATAGAATTGGGAGAGATCATCTTTGGCTTTCACACTTTCCTCCCCATCTCCTCATCATCCCACATCTCTCTCAACTCGAGAGAACATTAAGAACCCATGCTCTTCTTTCCCGAGTTTCTGAAAGCCCACATTGGTTGAGCAGGAATGCGAGTCATAGCCTTCACTCCAAGCGGGTTGTTCTTGCTCTGCATCAATCAAACCCCACGGTAAGTAACCAAAAAACATAATCAAGATTCAAGAATGTATTACTACACACTAGACCACTTATAATAGATCGAGATGAGTTTACCTTTGTGCAGGTGCCTGATCTAACATGGCAAACCGGGTAGTCATGAGGGCAACAACTGTAGTGATCCTCGCAGCACACAGCGCTATCCAGAGGGCAGCATCCCCACGCAAAGCAGTAGTTTCCAAACGGGAACACACAGCAGCAGGTGGTGCTTGCAGGGCATGCATTGAACTGGTCACAAGCACTCGGAGCAGATGGAGATGGAGGAGCTGGAGTGGGGCTTGGAGGGCTTGGAGGAGGATTATCCCCTCCTGTCTTGGTCGGGTAAGAAGCCTCCATAGCTATACCACATAACCCGCTTTTATCTTTCACATTACGCTGCATCCTCACATACCCCTTCTCTCCCCAGTAGTTACCCCACGAGTTCTTTACAATCCAATAATCCACGCCATTCTCACTACCATATCCAACAGCAGCCACACCGTGGTCCAAATCAGTTCCACATGATCCAGTGAATATACCCTATAAGGAAAAATAAAACAGTCAGACTACACATTTATATATTATGTGCTTAACAGTTATTGCATATACAATGGAAATGGAAACTTTTTCTGTATCTACAGAGTAATACCGATTCATAGAGCTGGAAGTCATTGCCACCAGCTTCAATGGCAACACTGACGGGCTGGTTTGCTAATGCCTTCTGTAACGCCTTCTCATTATTTACCGGAACATCCTCGTACCCATCAATTGAAGCAACCTTGGCATTGTTTTTCTGCAGGTAAAAGATTTCAAAAATGTAAATACTCATCAGAAAAAACATCCTTAAAGCTGTGTTTGTTCTTAAGAAAGGGGAAGAGTGCAATGCTAACCAGGTAGGAGTTGCATTTGCCATCCTTGCCAGTGTAAGGGTAGTCCTCCTCAGAGTCAATACCTCCGTTCTTGATGATGAAGTCGAATGCATAGTCCATTAAACCACCATTGCAGCCCTGATTAATCTTCGTGTCACAGTCAACCAGTTCCTGCTCCGATAATGAGACCAGATTCCCCGTCGCGATCTGGTTTGCTCCTTCCACGCCTGCGATTGCTGAGAATGCCCAGCAACTCCCTGTTTCATATATTCCAATTTCATTCAAAATCTTAAATTCAACTCTCAGTAGGAACCATTTGTTAGTCTTATTGATTTGAATCCATCAACTATGAACAACTTAACTGAAACCCAATACACACTTTTAAGTATTGTGACAAATTATACTATGAATCATCAATGATCATTTTCCAAAATGACACTGTTAAACATATTATGTTTCTGTTTTGTGTTAGTCTATTGCCTTCTTAACTATAATATGAATTATGTATATTATGAACATGAATTATGTACATTATGTTAAGTGTTTATGTGTCTTCATTATATCGTATTTATGTATATGTATATTATGAACATGAATTCTATATATTATAACGTCAAATTATGTGTATTAGACCAGGGTCCATAGTGTCCACAATATAAATTTGGATACGAGTTTCTCGTCACCCAAAAAAAGATATTGTTGGTATCTTGTGGGCCCAAAAAGTAGTTTGTGGGCCATGTCAAGGGATTCCACGGCCCAGTTTGGGTTAGGTGGGCCCATCAATTCCACCAATCGACTTTAGTTGTATTAGGCGGGATGGTTGGAATTTGGTAAGGAGTCATTAAACTGTGATTAGCAACTAAATAAAACATAATACAGAGTGGAATTTACTAGGTTGCCACTGGTCAAATCCGAAACCGGGAATATTGAGAGGGGTAAAATAGGCATAACAGGAAAACGAAATTAGCGTGACTTACCACAGCTGCCTTGATCTTTGACTTCAGTAACAGCGCCTTTCTCTCTCCAGTCAATGGAATCCGGCAAGCTGTCGCCGGCCACCGGAGCATACCGGTCGCTCTCCCTCTTCGGCCTACTTCGGCCAGCGTCCCGCTTGGCGCCGAGGAAACCAGTGCGGTACTCCTCGTTGGTGATATCAGCGAATCGGTTCAAGCCGAGCTTGTACGACCGGTTTTCGAGGCTGTTCTTCTCGTCGATGTACTTAAGGTTGTCCTTAAAGATCTTAAACCTCTTATCCTTCTCGTCGACGGCGTTGTACGACTTGCCGTGTTTCACCAGCCACGACTCGAACATCTCCCTCACCTCGTCCTCGCTCCGGGCAATGCCCTTCACCGGATGCTGCTGATCGTAGGTTATGATCGACATATCCTCCTCCGCCGCCGCCGCCGAAGAAGCGACGGCGATCAGAAAAGTGAAGAGAATCAAAAGTCTTGCCATGAAAATTGTGTTAGGTGTAGTTGAAGAGAAAAAGGAATGGGGGGTTGGAAAAAAAAAAAAGTGTATTTTATAGGAGAAACGAGGATATTATGGTCAATGTAACTGTTAAGTGTTAATACAGTTGGACTAAAAAACTAAAATAAATATTCATTCAGTCACAATAATTTAATATGAAAATCATATCTAATGTAATAGACATTTTTAATTCATAGGTGACATATTGTAAGTAATGATATTAGATTATAAGTAAGGACGTTAGATGAGTCTTGGTAATTATAATGTGAGAATCACAAAATACTAATAATCTCACCTAATAAGTCATTAAATTAAATTTGGGTGACAGATTATAAGTAAGGACGTTAGATCCAGTCTTGGTAATTACAATGTGAGAATCACAAAAAACCACTTAATGAGTTGTTAAATCAAATTTTATCGGGACTATATTTTGATCCCAAACATAGTAATGGGAAGATACCAAGATGGAGGATAATAGAAAGAGTCTTGGTATTATTACTAAACAACAAAGTACAAACAACATCTGGAATAGCAAAGTAGATGCATAAAAGTTGCATTTTAGCATATCCAATGACAGCAAGATAGAAAGCACTATACATAAATCAGTGTCTTAAATCTCAATACAACAATCCCATGAATGATCTGATCTGATCTGTTCAGGATGGAATGGGGGAGAGATCATCTTCATTCTCTACCTGCACACTTTCCCCTTCCCTATCAACTCGAGAGACCATCAAGAACTTGTGCCCTTCTTTCCTGCATTCTTGAAAGCCCACATAGGTTGAGCAGGAATGCGCGTCATTGCCTTCACTCCAAGCGGGTTGTTCTTTTTCTGAATCAATCAAAACACGCAATTGAGTAAGTAACCAAACCCCACACAATCAAGAATGTGGTTTCAATCAAGATGAGTGCTTATTACCTTAGTGCAAGTGCCTGATCGAACATGGCAAACCGGGTAGTCATGAGGGCAGCAGCTGTAGTGATCGTCGCAGCACACAGCGCTATCCAGAGGGCAGCACCCCCACGCAAAGCAGTAGTTTCCAAATGGAAACACGCAGCAGCAGGTGGTACTTGCAGGGCACGCGTTGAACTTGTCACAAACACTCGGAGATGGAGATGGAGGAGTTGGAGTGGGGCTTGGAGGGCTCGGAGGGCTTGGAGGAGGATTGTCCCCTCCTTTCTTTGTAGGGTAAGAAGCCTCCATAGCTATACCACACAACCCGGTTTTAGCCTTCACGTTACGCTGCATCCTCACATACCCCTTCTCTCCCCAGTAGTCACCCCACGAGTTCTTTACAATCCAATAATCCACACCATTCTCAGTACCATACCCAACAGCAGCCACACCATGGTCCAAATCAGTCCCACATGATCCAGTGAATATACCCTATCAGGAACAATAAAACATCACAAATTATACTTTTAAGGAATGGAGATTCCTAAACTGACAGTCAAACCAAACATTTGTATTCCAATCTAGGTTACCCATAGCTGATTGTCTCAAACCAAAAATGTCAATAAGCCGCTCAGGCTGGAAATCAAACTTGTAACCTTCTAGTTACCAAGCTAACAGTCCAACATTTGTATTACAGTTCATTACATATATGATGGAAATGGAAAATTTTCTGTATCTATAGCATATATAACAGAATAATACCGATGAATAGAGCTGGAAGTCATAGCCACCGGCTTCAATGGCGACGCTGACGGGCTGATTTGCTACTGCCTTCTGCAGCGATTTCTCATTATTTACAGGAACCTCCTCGTACCCATCAATTGAAGCCACCTTGGCATTGTTTTGCTGCATGACAAAGATTCCAAAATCGCATCTTTAAGTTAAGGCTGTGTTTGTTATTATTATTAACAAAAATAACAGAACAAAAAAGAGCAGAATGCTAACCCTGTAGGAGTCGCATTTGCCATCCTTGCCGGTGTAAGGGTAGTCCTCCTCAGAGTCGATGCCGCCGTTCTTGATGATGAACTGAAATGCGTAGCCCATATCGCCGCCGTTGCAGCCCTGGTTAATTTTCCGGTCGCAGTCCACCAGCTCCTGCTCCGATAAGGAGATCAGATTGCCCGTCGCAAGCTGGTTCACACCTTCAACGGCTGCGATTGTTGAGAACGCCCAGCAACTCCCTGTTTCATTCCCATTTTATATTAAAATAATATATTTTTATTTATTTTTGATCATGTTGAAAAAATCATATCAAATTGAAACATGTACTCCATCTAAACTAAAAATCTAAGCTGATAGTTGATTGCACATTAATAATTATATATTCAACAGGCCTAGGCAGGCGCCTAGAGCTTTTCGGAAGCTACATTTTTGCTACACTGATTTTTTTAAAATAAGGTACAATAAAATATACCTTTATAACGCATCTAAACATTTTCCTTAGGGGCCGTTTGGTTCACGGAATGTTATATTACCTTAGGGAATGTTAAATTGCTGGGAATGTTAAATTACTGGGAATGTTAGATTACTGTGTTTGGTTAAAACTGAGGTATGTAATATAATCATGTTTGGTCTAAGGTCATCTTTTATATATATATATATATATATATATATATATATATATATATATATATATATATATATATATATAGTATCCTTAATATATTTTTATATATTTTAATAATTAAATTAAATAAATAAGATAACGGTATCATATATAATTATGATTTTGAAATATTAACTAAAATCTTGAACTTGAAAAACAAAATTATTTTATATGCTAACATAACGTAATAAAAAAATTTTTTTTTTTGTAAGTTGTAATAAAAAATATATAATATAATTACAACAATAACAACAATAATAATAATAATAATAATATAACAATAATAATAATAATAATAATATATCTTTAAATAATTATAATTAAAATGACAAAATTCATAAATATGCAAGGTCCCTTCAAAATCCTATGTGGTGGGAATGTTGCATTCCTTGGGAATGTTATATTCCCTCAGAGAAAATGAACCAAACATAAGACTGTAAGCTCGGAAATGTCACATTCCCTTAGTTATATAATATAACCTGAACCAAACGCTCCCTTACAGTAATTAAACAGTGATTGACAAGTAAATAGGATATAATACTGAGGTGAATTTACTAGGATGCCACTGGTCAAATCCCAAGCATATCACGAGGGGTAAAATAGGCATAAAGGGAAGATGAAAGAGTAACTCACCACAGCTGCCTTGATCTTTGACTCCAGTGACAGCGCCTTTCTCTCTCCAGTCAATGGAGTCCGGCAAGCTATCGCCGGCCACCGGAGCATACCGGTCGCTCTTGCTCTTCACCATATTCCGGCTAGCGTCCCGTTTGGCGCCGAGATATCCGGTACGGTACTCCTCGTTGGTAATATCCGCGAACCGGTTCAACCCTAGCTTGTACGACCGGTTTTCGAGGCTGTTCTTCTCGTCGATGTACTTAAGGTTGTCCCTGAAGATCTTAAACCTCTTATCCTTCTCGTCGACGGCGTTGTACGACTTGCCGTGTTTCACCAGCCACGACTCGAACATCTCCTTCACCTCGTCCTCGCTCCGGACCAGGCCCTTCGCCGGATGCTGCTGGTCGTAGGTTATGATAGACATGTCCTCCGCCGCCGCCGCCGCGGCGGAAACGACGGCGAACAGAAACGTGAAGAGAATTGAAGGTCTAGCCATGGTTGGAAGAAGAAGAAGATGGTGTTAGGTGTAGTTAGAGCTTGGAAAGAAGTGCAGAGGGAGAGTCTATTTTAAAGGCAGATACGAGGATATTATGGTCAATGTGACTGTACTGCCATTGGACAAAAACAAGACTAAAATCATAAATAAATAAATAAATGTGACATGTTACTTAAATGAGTCTATCAATTATGAATAATTTATGTAATTTTGTCTTTTTATGATTATTTATCAACTAGTTTCATAAGTCTCATTTTCGTGATTTTTCATCAACTAAAATCATAAGCTAGTTTCACATATATTTTTGTACCAAGATATTTTGGCAAGCATGCTCATAATCAGATCTCATAATCAATTATTTAAGAGAATTGAATTACATATTTACATACAATTTGAATTGAATTTGAATTAGTCACATAATAATAGAAATATCAAATACTATAAATCAAAAGAATCTAACATTACGTTTTTTTAAAAGAGTAATACTTTACATATTCTGAATTTGAGTTAATTCCAGCAATGGTCCTCCGACTATATTGATTTTCCAAAATTAGTCTTTGACTTTTAATTTGGACACTTTAGGTCCCTTTTAATTTCTTTCCAATTGAGGTCCTTTCGTCAGAATACGGTTAATTGAACTTTAAATGAAGGGGTAAACTCATCATTTCACCTGCCTATGTATTATTTTTAGTATTTCTACATTGTATACGCGATATATATGAAAATAATCTTAGTCGAAACCCTAAAATGTTCCTCGTCGTTCCCCATTTGCTGACTACTCGTGTGTGCGTTCCTCTATTATTGAGATGTTCACAAGGTATAACAGCGAAATACGAAGAATAATACATAGGCATGTGAAAAGACGAGTTTACCCCTTCATTTAAAGTCTAATGAACCGTATTCTAACGAAAGGACCTCAATTGGAAATAAATTGAAAGTCAAGGGACCTAAAGTGTCCAAATTAAAAGTCAATGACTAATTTTGGAAAATCACTATAGTCGGAGGACTATTGCTGGAATTAACTCTTCTGAATTTCTATTATAATTTTTAATCTCAACTTATGTGATGTATTATGATTCAACAATCCCAAAAAAAAAAAAAAAAAAATTAATTAATACCCAAAATGGTCCCTCGACTATGCCATACTTATCAATTTGGTCCTCAACTACCATCCTTACCCAATTAAGTCCTCAACTATGTAACTTTTACTCAATTAAGTCCTCAACTATACAATTCTTACCCAATTTAGTCCTCAACTATACAATTATTACCCAATTTAGTCCTCTGTATTAATTTGACTGTTTGTTGACTATCAAAAGTCGGGATAAAATTATAATTTTACAAGATTTCTCCTTCCTCTCCATTTAGCA